GGGGGCCAGCTCTGAGAAGGCTCCTCTGCCTGGGTCCCGCCACTGGCCTCCCTAGCAGGAATTCTGGTGTTCCCCCTTTGAAAACTGAAAAATCCCCGATAAAAAAATCCCAAAGTCACTCTGTAAAATACCCCGAAATCCATGTTCCTCCACAATTAAAACAAAAGACCACTATATATAGAGAGAGAGTGAGAGACAGCGAGACAGCGATTAGTTGGACAATGTTTTATTGATACATCTACAGTGTTAAAGCAATTTGGAAGCCTACCAGTGTCTCTATCATCATAATATAATGAATTCTAAATATCTATGTGTTTTGCTGTTTGCCTTTGGTTTTCTTACCATAGAGCAGTTAGAGCTCCCTGTGACCCCTTCATTAACCAGCTGCCCGTGTAGCCACAGCTCCTGCCACCGGTCTCATCCTGTCTGGCAGCTGGGCATGCAGGGTGTGTGCTGGCGAGATGTGGGGTTTGCAGGAGGGAGGTGGGAAGGGGGGTGGGAGGATGTGAGCAGCTGTGGAGGGATGTGGGGGGCCAAGGGGCATGTGGGGAGGTGCGGGTGGATTGTGGAGGGGCTGTGCGGGGGGGCTGGTCAGCAGAAGTGGCTCCCCTGCCCCTGCAGGGCACAGCCCCCCTGCACAGCTCACAGACACCCCTGCTTGCTCCCCCAGCCCCCCAGATTCCTGCCCTGCCTAGCCCCATCCCCCACCAGCTCCTGCAGCCCCCGATGGCTGCTCCACCCAGCCCCACTCACCGGCAGTAGCAGCTGCTGTGGGGGTCACTGGGGCCTCATGGCAGAGCCCCCCGTGCAGCACAGGGCAGCGGGGCCCGGCCTCGGCCGTCTGGCACCTGCACTGCCACTGCCCCATTGCGTGGGTCAGCAGAGCGCTGCGTGGCTCCACGCGCTGTTGGGCAGCTGGGGCCGCTGCGGCTGTCACCCTGCCCCGTGCTGTGCGGGGGGCTCTGCCATGTGGCCCCAGTGACCCGTCAGGCAGCTGCTACTGCTGGTGAGTGCTTTTCTTTCTTCTTTTTTTTTTTCAAATTGCCGGGATGCTGTGAGTTCATTTATACTGCTAAAAGTGACATATATACTAGCTTGGGTGAACGGCCGGTATTCTGAAAACCAGAGTCTTGTGACAGCCGCTGAAGGTCAAACTGCTCGTCATTAAATTGGTTTCAGTATCACGACAAGTGGGACCGCGGTACACGGTGCACATGCTAGAGATGCAGGGTTCCCTGTCACAATGGGTGCTCCAGCCAAACCCGGTTTCATTCATTTTAGACAATCCTATGAAATGAAACTCGCTGGCAATACCAGTATAAGATTTTCATTTGTGCCTGCAAACCCAAGCTGGGGCTTTACTGGTGTTTGTACATTTTTGTAATTTTAGGAGGAAGATCCTTTTAATCCCACCCATTTGATTTTGGTTCCTTGATGTTCCTTTTATGTGGGACTGCCCCTCTCCACAACTAGAATTCTATTAGGAGCTAAAATGAGGTTTAAATCCCCGTAATTAATGATTCAATTAGCAACTATGTATTGAGTAATTCAGAAATCTAAACGTGGACCCTTTTTACAGCTTCTCAAATATTTCTTAAGCGGTTGAAATATGAAGCATGTGAGAGGTCTTTCTGTAGAAACATTTCTGTTCCTTCTTCGAGTGCCGAACTGTACAACCAAGCTGACAGCGGGCGCTCCAAAGATACTTTTTCTTCCAAATGGATTTCAGGTTTTCCTTCACTGTCTGATTTAAATCAAATTCTCTGAAGTTAAGATCCAACAGAAGATTTTACTAAATGCCCTGTCAGTTTAAATGATCGCTATTCAAGGTTTCAAGTACAGTAAATGTAGAAATATAAGAGTTATTAAAGGCATAAATGCTGTTCCAAACATAACATTTAGCTACAATTTTGCTTTGAAATCATTTGTGACAAAAAGCTGGAGCTCACCACATCACAGAGTGCATCGGTTGCCTCTGTTTCTCTAAGCTGTGACCTTAAAAACTTGAAGCATTTTTTTAAATGAATGATGTAATGAGCAAATTACTGGAGTATGCCTATTAAACGACAACTCATATACGTCATGTCATTTAAATGTATGTGCAAATAAATCCAAGCTCTTCAAATTCCATAACATTTCTGACAAGGAATCATGTCAGATATAAATAACTGCAGTAACTCCATTTGCTTGCCAAATTCTTCTGGTGTATAATAATTTCCATGTCATCTTACTACAACTAGCTAAGCACACAAATTCTATCAGTTTATCACTCTTTTCATTATCAATATTATTATCCACTACCTGTTTAAAGAAGCTGGGGTTTTTTTTATAGGTCCACAGCAGTTCTCAGCATTAACATGCTTCTATATGGACTGATTAGTTTTATAGATGAAGTTATTTACAATTCCTTTTTCACAGCAAAAACTCAAAAAAAACCAAACTTCACTAAAAAAATCCATTTAACAAGCTGCCATTAAAGAACTGATGAACAAGAAAGTCTTTAAGTTCACCCCAAACACAAGATATAGAACAACCAATTGGAAAGGCTGTTAATCAAAATTGATTTTTGAATGCCCATTTCCATAATGAATTTATAATAATACTTCAACATTCGGCCCAAGTGGAAAATTATTGCCTTTCAAAACCACACGACACACAAGTTAGAAAGCAACAATTCACTCAAAAGGGAAATGTGGTTTTCTTAAGAAATAAAAGTAAATTTATTTAAGTGGTTCAAAACTTGTTCTGTCTATGCATTTGTTTCTGCCATAATAATGAGCTGCTAAACTTTCCTCTTGTGGTTTGTAGTTATTTAGCTCATTATAGTAACATAATCGTATATCATTATGTGCTATCATAAATCTGCCACGTTCCCCTCGCAGAGTTAATCTTTTTAAATTGAATAATCTGTTGAGCATCAGGTCGAGTTAGTTTTTTCCTTTGGCACAAATCATTTAATAGAACATGCGTTTGCCTTTCAGACAAAGTCAGTCCAACCAAGCAGCAACCCTAGGCAGGCAATTTTAGAGTATTTATGCTACTTGACCCAAAATAGAGGTTAAAATACTCCTTGGAGACTGAGGCAAAAGGGAGCAAATCCATAGCCATAACAGCTGTGTCTGCCCATTATGTGTGCATTTCAACCCTGTTTTTCAAAGTTTATAAAAACTTAGCCTTAGAATATAGTCAAAGGGCAGCAAATAAATGTATCAGTTGGGCAAAACCTCTCTTACATGTAACTGTGGCTGTCCAAAAAACTTTATTCAAATGATGGCACCAGCTGGGCTTTGAGCTGAGGAAGTCTGGTGACTTGCCTGTGTATAGCTGCATGCCTAGTTCTGCTTGTAACCAACCAGATGCCCTACACACTTATTAATATTTACTGTATTTAAGCAATTTACTGTGTCTGGATTATATAACCAGACTAGCGGTTTACAATAATGTAAGAGTTATCACTACATTAATCAGGCCAACTTTCGGGTAGTTAAGAAAGCTCCCATTAGAAAACCTGGGCACCTGGACACCAAGGTTAAACAATTTGCCTAAAACTAAATAGCAAGATTCAGAAACTGAGTCAGGATTCAAACTTAATTCCTCCAGGCTCCTGGTCCTGGTTGTAAACCACACTGGGTCTCTGTGAGCTCAGCAAATGACCTGACAGTCTATTGTATTAAATCTATGCTTTAAAACGTCTCAACTACTTTGTAAATGGCTACAATCAACAGTACACAGCTCCAAAGGTAGTTCAGGGTTAAAAATGCTATTTTGTCTTTAAATCACAGAGGTGTTTTGGGGAGGAATTAATTTGTAATTGTCAGGTGCTTTGAAACAACCTGCTAAAAGGTGCTGTATAAATTCAAAGTATTGGTTTTGTAATTGCCAACTGAAATACCATTATTAGTATAACTAGATACTTGAGCATACTTGAGAGCTGAACATTACAGGATCATATGAATTGCAGCATCTTAAAAACAGAGGCTCCCATGGACATGCTCTCAGACCCGTAGCCATACAGTGCTGCCAGATGCTGCCAAAATTAAAATAAGAATACAGTAGCTGGGAAAAATTCAAACAACCGTTACCTTGAGGTCCCTGCTGTACGGATTGGTTTTGAAACTGAGCATACGGTTTGTTCGGTATTCCTGAAAACTGCTGCGCATTCGGGGACTGGCTGTGTGACGCAGGTGAACCATGTTTCTGCAGGAGGGAAGGTGGAACTAGTGTTTTCAGAGGACCGACAAGAGGTGAAATAATATTTGAAGTGAGCCTAGAATGAGAAGAGAGAAAAAAATGCTGTCATATCAGAGGAGGAGACAGTAAAAGACTCCAAGTCCCTTTGCACTGTCTGCAGTGACCCTAAGGCACAGACGTTTATTCACATTTTGTGCTGACTGATGTATCCATTTTTTAAAATAAATCATAAGATGCTGCTTTTACATGTTCATTAATTAAAGTAAAATATAAACTGGTTTACAGTCCCTTGCACTGGCTGCCCATGCTGTTGAGACAGGAGGGTACAAAACACCACCATGGCTCACAAGGTGGCTGGCCCCAGCCTTAGACAGAGTCAGTTTTAGTGAACTGAGAGCCATACTGGAAATGAACTTAGAGCTAACGGGAATCCTGAGACTGAAAGAAAAAGTAACTCTCAGGGTCGACATTCGGTCACACTCATGAGTTCTTAACTCAGTGATGCCAGGGCTGTCCAAACACCAAGCGGCTGGAGGCTGAATGCCAGGACGAGTCAGGACCCCCCTTGCCGCACGTCCCGCAGACATCGCCCCCCTCTTGCTGCACCATGTGGGAGGCCCCCACCCGCTGTACCATGCACGTGTGTCCCGTCCCCCCCATTGCTCTGCCACGTCCTCACCGAGTCCTCCCCCTTCACTGCTGCACCACTCACCTATGCCCTGCCAATGGTGCACCATATGCTTGCTCCCCCACCCTGCTGCTACACTGGTTGCGTGGCTCCGGGGTCACCCTCAGCTCCATGTGCTGTGCTATGCTGCACTGCCTCACCCCTGGGGTAGGGCCAGGCAGCAAAAGCTGGAGGCCAGGTAAACCTGGAGTTCCCAGTAGCTGCTGCAGCTGAAGCGATGAGGAGATCGGCAGCCAGACAGGAGCCCGAGAACCACGACTCATGCAGCCCACAGCCCGCCAGTTGGACAGCCCTGAATTATGCTAACAAATCAAATCGGTCTGTCTAGGGATAACATGAGGCAGAATTTTACCTGGAATTTTTATATCCAATTAATAAAGGTCTTGCTATCAGTTTTAGCTCCTTCTCATTGTTTCCTCTTTGAACCAAAAAATAAGTTCTAGGGAAAGTTTTCTTTAAAAAGCTGGTAGCAGTAGTAGAAGTAGCTGTAGGCGGCATCTGTCTGTCTTGCAAGACAACATCATTGTGAAGAGTGAAGCACCAGCTCTGTGCCCTGGAGAGGTCACTCTAGCTTTGCCTTGTCTTTAAGAAGGTGAACTATTTATCTTTAAAAAGGCAGATTCTCTTTTTATTATGCAAATTGCAGATCATTGTTTTTACAAAATATCGAATTATCACCCTGTCCAACAACTGGCAGACTCGTATATCATAGATGTAGTGCTAAGAAAAATCAAACATATTAGCTATAATATTAATATTTAGGTACCTTGTTTCAGGTTAGTTTGTTTCAATGACACCCCCCATCTCCCCCACCCCACCATTGGCTGTTCTTTCAAGGTATAAGGAAATAAAATCTATGTCAAGTTTGAGTAACTTCTACGTTGACTTTTCTCTTTCTAATGTACAAAGAACCCTTAATGATTTATTCCTTTTACTCCAGAGGATCCCTAATGAATAGTAATTGTTTAATGCATTAGTAAATAAAATGGGGTAAAACCACATTCCCCAAAGTTTTGGCTTTGTCAGACAAGCACTATTCTTTATCAATTATCGTTCCTTTAACAAGTACAAATTTTAACAGAAAATCAGGATTATCTTAGAAAAGCACAGCCCAGAGGAAGGGTATGTTTGCATCTGCCCTTGGCTAGGGGAAGGCAGGGAAGCAAGATACCATTGTGCTGTAAAACCTTGTCCTAAGCTTCCAGGAATCAGGTCAGCACAAGAGTTGTGGCACTACTCAGACAATGAGATCTGGCACGCTGATGCCATGTTACCACCTTGGGAATAAGTTAGAACAGCCCAGGAGTGGCTCTATCTTACACTGCTGACATACGATACCCAGGTGACTTCAACCCATTGAAGGACTGGTGATGCACAATGTAGCTCCATAAGGATTTTCTAGAGCATGTGGGTTGCCTATACATGTGCTCAGAGGTGGGGGGTGGGGGGGATCATTTTAATTAGAGTGGTTCCTAGATAGCCACTATAATTAAAACCGCTCACCATCACATGCATTAAACCCCCTATGTTTCAAAATGGCCATGGGGACACTTTAACTAAAGCTCATTTGGCGAGGTTTAGTTAAAGTGCCCCCCATAGCCATTTTGAAATGCAGGGGGACTTAATACATGTGACAATTAGGGGTGTGCAAAACTGGCCCTATTTGATTCAATTTGATTCAGTGATTTGGATCACTGTCCCTGATTCGATTCAGCTGAATCTGAATCTAAAGATTCGATGCCGATTCGGAGAATGAGCGATTCGGCCATAGACACAGCTTTAAATGTTTTTTCTACATACCTCGAAGTACCAGGCGCGATTCGTGATCGCTGCGATGCTGGGGCACATGGAGCATCCCACAGGAGTGCAGGGGGGTGCCCCCGTGTGCTCGGCGGCCAACCTGGAAGTGGACTGAAAGTACTTCTGGTCCTCTGCCGGGGAGTGCACTAGGGGCCCCCCCTGCACCCCTCCAGCTCAGCAATTGGCCACGGGGGGACCCCGAGTGCCCCCCCCAGTGCCACCCCCCCTGGAAACGTGGGCAAGAACTGAGATGGCAAATCTTATTAATGAAAAAGAAACTCAAAACGAGTCAAGAGTGGGGAAGATTAGGACTCTCCGAGGGCTCTATCATGCTGAGGGAAATGGCAACTAGATGGCAGATGAAATGTATACATGCAGAGAAGCAGACATTGTAAGGAATCATTAGAGCTCACGGGGCAATTTCTGGATTTGTAAGTAAACTGCACCAACTCAGCAGAAAGACTCAGGGATTTTTCTGGACAGCTCAATGAAAAACTTTGCTTAAAATGCAAAGGCAATAAAATGTTACAAGGCATAAAGAAAAGTATGGTAAGTAATAAGCAAATTGCTATGAATCTATGGTATGTGCTTACTTGGGTACTATGTTCAGTTTGGGCCCAAATAGACAATATTCATAAATGAGTCACAAAAGTAACTGGAAGCCTAGGAGCATGTGGAAAAAAACTAAAAAGATTGTAGTTCCTTACATTAGAAAGAAGCTGAGAAAAAAGGATCCTGTTAAACATATACAAAATAATGAAGAGTCTTTCAAAAGTACAAGGGAAGCACTTTGCAACCACATCTTATCATACAAAAAACCAAAGGAATACTTTATGCTATTGAAAGGCTGAATATTAATGAAAGGAAACACTATTTTTACATAGTGCAAAATTACTCTCCATGTACCGTTTTGGTTAAGAAGTAGTTAAAGGACTGGGCATTTGTATGGATGATGAGAACACATATGGTTTTATTAGACATAATAAAAAATAATTTAAAAATAAAATAAACAAACCTCAAAGTCTGGATGAGACAGCAAAAGCTTGTGCTCTCAGGGCATAAGCCAGTTTCTGCTGGGAGGTGGGAGAAGGGGTTGGGCAGGAAGACATTTCACCAACTAAGCTAGTTTATAGCTGTCTGCTCTGGGTTTCTTATACTTTTTCTAGAAGCATTTTGTACTGCCTAAGGTTGGGAGAAACAATACCCAGATCGATGGGCCACTGGTTTGCTCCCTCCCAGCATCCCTTTTGTTACTAGGAGAGGAATTTAATGGTTGCAAAGGTCCCAATCCTGAGTGGCTGTAGTCCTCTGTGCACGACGTTCATCCTATTGCAGAGAAATGACTCGCGTGATAACTAAGCACCTGCTTCTGATACACCAACGGATCAGCCGTGCAGGTATTCCTGTCGCTTCCCGCTGAAACACTGCACTCATTTCTCCAGGCAGGGCAGGGAGGGATTACACCTATTTCTTTAAGCCACTGCCCTGGTAACCTGCACCACTGGAGCTTGACTGGAGTCCTGCTAAAGCCCGGGATAAAACAATCCTCTCGGTGTTGTACAATCCGGATACAATCCTCCATTACAAGGCTTATAACTAAAGGTATCGGGCAGTGCTTAATTTTGATATAGGCATCTTATTGAATACAGATTTCTATAGGAGAAGCTTCTATATAGCCATGACCTTCACCTATATAGCTTCAATATAGCCATGAACGTCACTCACTAGAAGAGCAGCTGGAGTTGGGAGACTGAGCTACGGGGGAATTTGTTTTCCTAAAAAAATGCTCTTTTCAGTTTCCGAATTGAAGACTGTCCCTAAAACATAATCCTGGTAATTCTTCCATGGACCTAATAACCTGTGGCACATGGGTTATTAGTCTGCAGGTGAAATAATTCCAGCTACAGATTAAACAAATCATGCAAAAGCTATAGGAAGCAGCTTCAAAAGAGATGCCTGCTGTATTGAAGGCGAAAAACTGAACTGCTGAACAGAGGACTGCAGAGTGGACAGCTGGATGCATTAACGACGCCCAGGCAGTAGCTGAGGCAGATCTGTTTCACTAACTAATAGTTTGGACATTTCCTGTTAATACTGAATTGCAACCACAGTTTGTTTTGTTTTGGATCTTAATAATAAATATAAACCACATTTTTAACTTTCATTGTCACTTGTCTGATTCCCTAAATTTGCAGCAGTTCTGTTGTTATGCTTTAGCATATGTATTCAAAAAATCCACATGCTTCCAACTTCACAAAAACAGGTCCCAATGACTATGTTGAATGTCTACATTGTTACGAGGGTCAAATCTTTATCTGCCTACCTTACAGGATATCAAGAGCTCAAGAGCCACCCGGGCTCTGGTGCGCTATCACTCAGGCTCAGGAGAAAGCGAGGTAAAAGCACTCTGCACCCCACAGCACAACACGGGGTTTGGAGGGAGGGTAGAGGACAGGCCAGTGAATCCAAGGCTACATTAATCCCTGGACTCAGGTGCACAGAGACTTGAACCCAGGTGCCCACGCCCTTGTTAAAGGCTGAAAGGAGCAGCCAGGGAACAGCTATTCTCAGGTGCTCGTAGATGAAGA